GATAGAAATAGTAAAGACGCACAAACACAGTTTGAGGCTAATTTACCAAAAGCAGATAGAATATGGGAGGGTATAAGTCGTAATTTCAGGCCCCATTTGAGGGACAAATCTTGATAAGACTCTTAGTAGGCATGCGATTTATCCTTATGTAACACATTTTCCCAAAACTTGCTACAAAAGTGGTCAACTAGTGCCTGATTATTCCAATACATATTCCGGTTGCTTCAACCATTATTATTGTTGTTGGAGGTGGTATAGACGATAGATTAGACATGAATAATAGCCTTCACTTAATGCACAAGATTTTAAACTATCATCCCCAACAATTCAATTGGGATACACCTCAACTAAATTCAAATAGTTCCAGCGTTGCAAGAAATGTGTACAGTTCCTTAAAGCTAAAAAATATGAGGTTCATGTTCTAAATTCCATGAACTTACCAGCAAGAATGTGATCGACAGCAAGAGGAGAGTTATCAACCCAGTAGGAGCAAGGTGAACGACCTGGAGTTGGTTCCACAAAAGCCTCCAAGGAGGAAGTTTTTCCATCAGCAAGACCACCTGTTGCAGAACCAAGGACTTCAGGAGGTAACTCGAGATCCTGATAAATATCCCACCCACCTCCTATTGGAAAACATAAAAAATATTGAAGTTGAAAAAAGCATTTTAACTACTTTTTGAAATCCATTATCACCTATACAGCAAGAAGCGAGCCAGGTAAATTAGTTTATAAACGTAGCGTTCAATCAACTCATTAATTATGAAGTAGTGTATTGATTTCAAATAAATAAGAAGTCAATTATAAGGTTTGCACAGACGCACAAATTTTTATCGCCTCATATTTACCTTATTAGCAAATATGCGTTTCAAGACTAACCACTCTCACATAGGAAGCTAAGTATAAATAGCTATTACTAAAATAAGAAATTTCAGACAAATTATAGCAACAATCATAGTTTTTCAAGAATAAACATTGACTCCCACAAACCAAATTCAATACATACAAGTTGTACGTGTTAGCGTTTTGTGGGCACAGCTACTTATTACCAAATAAGTAGCAGTAATATAAACTAACCTTCATCTCCAATAACCTCTTCATCGTCAATCAGGCCATTTTCATCATCGCCGAAACCGCCCATGGCGACTTTTCCTTCTCCTTCCTCATCCAGTCCCAAATTGGCATCTTCTCCCCAGTTTGCCTCCTCATCTACATTCATATTGAAGGCAGCTTTGTCGGCTCTTGGAAGTTGTATCCTTGGGCCACCAACGGTATCAGTGTCTTCCATACTACTAACACCAGTTTTTCCAATTGCTACCTCGAAAAAGTCCTTGTGGACACTAAGGGTAGGCCAGTTTTCTTCAGCAATTCCTTTAGGTGCAGCAGGAGGGGAAGGAATAAGGAGCTTCGCCGAAGGATTAGGTGGAGGTGCCGTCTCACCACTAGCAACCAACTCTTCCGCTTCCTTTTTGAGACCATAAGTCTGAGCTGTGAGCAGAGCCAATGAACCCCTATTACAAGCCCTCAGTACCTTGACACGTTCAGCTACATCTCCAAGGAGTAAAGCAATTTGGTACTGTTTGCCAAGATCACGCTTCACCTCAGCAATCTTCATCATTTTACGCAACTTCTCCAAGTTTCCAGTAATGAGATAGAGGAAAGTGAGTTTGGAGAAATCTTTGGTGCGCTGATAGGCCACTTCAAGGATATTAATATTACCCTGACGAAGAGCTAAATCAGCTAGCCTTTCCCAACAAGCCTTATCATCTAGAATGCGCGCAGCTTCCAAACCAACATCGAGTTGTCCGCAGTCCATAGCGAGAGAAAAGCGAGTTCTTGTGTCCTTAACAAAATGAAGGGCCACCTCGGGATAGCCCTTCTGCTCTAGGTAACCAATGATTGCTTGGCCAGTGAGGTTAGCGTGATTCACCATGTAGAGGACTTCCTCATATCTTCGATTTATCAATGCAAGTTTAAATTTGTACTCCGTAGGGTCGATAGAAAGAATCTTAGGTTCGCAATCACGATCAAGGCAGAAGATTGAGTCGCCTTGGACTTTGGTGATATAAATGGGTAAATCGAGGGTACGGATGATGCCGTGGTCGCCATTCAATAGGCAGTATTTGATATGAGTGGAGGTTGTGTAGATGAATACACCTGCTTCTTCAGCCCAAGCCCCACTTTTGATACGAACTGTTTCATGAATACTAGTCTTCACTTCCAACTGGCGATCACATAAGTAGAGGAACATTTTGCTAAAGAAGGCGACATGTTGCCCATCGGCAGACCAGATAGCCTGACGAACAAGTTTGGTGTTTTTTAGTGTGGCAAGAGTTCGTCCATTAGAGACCGAATAAAGACTCAGCCCCGTGGCATCACGAACTAGTATGTTGCCAGTACCTCCGTAGAAGATGTTATCAGCACCTGGAAGCTCAATCTTCTTCACCTTCTCGTTGGCTGAATTACGAACAGCTAAAGTACCCGGTGCCTCTAAGACAACGAACTTGTTTCGACCAATCCATACCGCTCCTTGGCCATGTCCATTACGACTTTCTGCTGGGCTGTCAGTGACTACACCGTCCTTTGGCAACTGGTAGAGGTCATATGTCACCTGAGAAATGGTGTAATTGGTTGTTCCAGATTCAGTGAACTTAGGTCGTGAAGTTATAATTACGGAGCCCTCGATATGGTTGTAGGCAATTGCAAACGGTGTTCCATGGCTAAAAGGCACAAAGAAAGAAATGATTGCTTATTTTCAAATAGTTACTGATAAGTAAAGACGACAAGGGGGAACAAGGGACTATTGAAATAAAGTTAAAAGACAGAGGTTAGAGGCATCAATGCGCATAAGAATAGAAAAAAAGAACAATGCACTCAAATAGTACTTCCGAACATAAACTAGAAAAGCAGTACAATGTAAACTCTTGCAATACTTACCAACAGTCATTCATATCAAGCAAAATATATCGAAAAACCCGAATAAAAAAATCAAGCAAACAAAAAAAATAAATAAAAATAATAATATTTGTGCGTTTTAGGAAATAAAATCCAAACAACTTCAACAATAACATTGGGAAAGTTCTGATCGACAACGAACAAATTTAAGCATCTTAAAGGAGAAAACGAGTAGGATCGAGCCAATAAGCTTGGAAATTAAGCGAGAAAAATAATACCGACATAAAACGGACACCAGCTACCACTTCTGCCAAATGTCTAATAATATAAGAGTTCACATAATTTCAACCCACTCTCTAAGCGTCATAACAGGTGAGTCCTTAGTAGTGGTAAAATTGAGTCTTCGCAGTTGTTTCTCCCTCACATAGAAGAGCGCATCTTTGTGGAGGGTCCAAGCGGGTCTTTCACGTTCCAACTTGAACACAATCATACCCTCGTCGTGACCAGCAGCAAAGAGGTTGTGCGAGGGATGTGCCGCCAGAATCCAGAAGCGATCGGAATCGCGACGAATTGTGGCCACGCAGGAGCGCTTAGCAAGGTCCCAAACACGTATAGTCTTGTCTTCTGAGTCAGAGATGAGAAGATCCTGTTTTGGGTGGAAGATGGCACAGCTTACATTGTTGGTGTGACCACGAAGAGTATCCAAATGCCAGGCTTTGGTTTCTATTGGGAAGAAAACAAATAAATGTTTTTTTGAATCGACAAATTTCATTCAGTATTTAACTTTGTGGATAACTTTGCTACTCAAATAATAGCAAGTAGTAAATTGCCACAACAACATTTTTGTAGACACAATTACGAAGTCATTCTAATCACGCTTCTTAACAGAATACAGACCAAACAAAGTTCCAAAGAAAGACAAGAAACCTATTTATTTTGGTAAATTAATGTTCAAATATATCTAAACCAGGAAAAAACGAAAAAGGCTAAAATAAGCGCTAATTAAATGATACGAACGAAGAAGAGTAACTTGAGTAAAGTATATTAAAATAGGCAATTTACTTTTAAAAAATTGGGAAATAAAACAAAATTCAATGCAAAGCCTTGGGTCGTTTTAGAGCATTTTCAATATTAGGAGATAGGAAGTGCAGAAAAGTGTAATTATTTTAAAACAATCGGGAAAAATAGGATAATTACCAGGTTAATATCAGCTCGCAGTAAGGTGAAGTGGCTCAAAAGCATGTAAGGATTATATTTATTAAACACGAGTGATAGAAATATTGCATTTAAACCAATTCAATCTAGAACGAGAAGATTTAAATTAGTTTTAAATCAGTTACAAGCAGAAAATATGCACTACAAAAGTACTTTACATGAAAGCTGACATTCGACAGTTATTTACAAAAAAAGGTCCTGTTGACAAGCATTAAAATAATTAGCTTCACACACTCCTAAAATATGACGCTACTATTATAAAATAAGTAGCAACCGGTCATGACTGGAAATCATGGCACCTACCAGTAATACGCCAGATACGAATTTGCCTATCATCCGATGCGGAGATGATGATGGGCAGAGTGGGATGAAACACGACCCAGTTTACACCACGTTCGTGTCCCTCAAGAACATGGCGAGCAACAACATCAGAGGAACCGAACAAATCCGTGGTGTTGACATTGCCATGGCCAATCGCACCATTACCACCACCTGTGCCAAGGTAACGCATTTGTTCCTGAAAAAGCAGTAAAAAGGAATTTAAAATACCACCATCAACGTGAGTAGAAGGGGCCCATTGGAATTACATTAACATAACAATATTTCAATATATCGTCATAATTAGTATTCAAACAAGACAAATAATCAATCCGCGGATTTAGGAACGATATCTCGAAATCCCCATTTGCATATTAATAATAGAAAACAAACTAAAGGTTACAGAACAAGAGCACGAAAAGTTTAAAATTAGAGAAAAGATAGTAAATAAGATGCTAATTAGTCCAAGGATTTATGGATGAAGAGAATCGACCAAGTCAAAGAAGTGTAGTGCATTTAAGCTGCTACTCGCTCGTAAGTAAAAATGACATCATTGCATAAGTTGAGCCAACTAGTAACATCAGTATTAGATGAATAAAAGCACAAACAAAGTGCAAGGGTCAGAAAAAAAATCGATAAGGGAATTTGAATATGATTTAATTAACAATGAAAAGGATCAACCAGTATCAATATTCAGGAGAATTTACAAATCGAAATCAATAACTATCGGAAGGGAACAATATTGTTATGTACTTGAGATCAATGATGTTAGATACAATTATACCACTTTAATTAGAAAGGACTGCAGTTACTGCGATTGGCATACAAATGTTAAACGACAAAGACCAATATAAACTAATACCAAAACCAATGACTAGTAGGTTACAAATTAGATGTCTTTCAATTCAAATAAACTCGAAAACATATTAAAAGAGAAAGAAAACAGAGGAAAGGGTTTGAACAGTCCATGGGTTATTCAAATGCAAGGATAAATAAACTAATACAAGGCAGTTAAATCTCGAAATAGGGACGAAAGCAAATAACCAACCTCAACTCCAGAGAAGCTAGAAGGCGCAACATTCCTTTTACGAAAACCGGAAATGTCCCAGACGCGAACGGTTTGATCAAGAGAGGCAGAAACAACGAGATCATCTTTAGGATGGAACCGAGCGCACATTACATAGTGGCAATGCCCAGTGAGAACGCAAGCCAGAGAACGCGACTGCCAATTCCAAATACGAATTGTTTGGTCATCAGATGCGCTAAGAATCCAGGGATATTCCTATAAATGGATAATAAACGAAATAAATATATAAAAAGCAAATCGATTAAGCGATTTAAAAACGCACATGATGGAAAAACGTGGTCCGGATATAATCCAAATGTCCATTAAGCGTAAACAAGCACTTTCTCTGTTTGTAATTCCAAACCTTGATTTTGTAGTCATCTCCACCAGAAACAAACAGAGGTTGATTTTGGTGGAAATCAACTCCACGAACCGGTCCCTCATGCTCTTCAAATTTATCAATAAGAGTACAGGATCTATAATCCCAAAGGTCTATAACACCTGTATGGAGGCCGGCCAATATCCAAGGCCTCTTTGGGTGAAAGGCCAAGCCTAGAAAATGGAAAATGTGCAAGCATTTAGCAATGTAGAGGAAAAATTAAGGGAGTTCAGAAGTTATACCTTTCACCCTAGCAGAAGATGAATCAAACTTAGCAAGATAGGCCATCACCTAACAAATGTGCCTATTTGGAATTAGCCAAACAAGCCGGGGAGATTATTATGCGTATAAACAACGTAATGAATAACTACGACTTATAAGGTAAAACATTAAGTTAATAAATATTTTCGAAAGACGAAAAGTTCAAAGGATATATTTTTATTAGGGTATTTATATTTAGAAAATGATGGTATTATCTTTTCAAAGCATATTTTTGATTGAGCTAAATAATTGTTCTGAGACAAGAATAATTTTTTTAAACTCTATTTTTAAAAAATTAGAGCAGATGCTTTAGTAACAGAAGTAATATCGTCATTTTCATCTTCTGCAAATATTTGAATAATTGCTCTTTTGGGCATTACTTAAACAAGCTTCCCTCATACTTCTTAGCCTTTTACTCATGTAGCCTAGGATGTCACATCCTCATCACCCGGTATATGTTTCTATCAAATTATATCTAAACCATATACTGCATTTCGCCATTTTTCATATCTAAACGGTGGACTGTAAAACGATATTTTGTTTTTAATAGGGCTTTTTTAATTATTTTTGCCTGAGTTAAGTGAAACTTGGGCACGTTCACTCTAATGTAAATTTTAACAGAAAGAATAATCCTTTTAGCGGAATTAGTTATTTTGGTGATTTATTATTATTTTCATGAATCACTTTGAATTTCTGGCCTTGCTACTTTATTATCATTTTCAAGCACTTTTTATCAAGTTATAGTATTACAGTCAATGGCTTTTATCTCTTCTGTTTATTTGCTCTTTGGCGCTTCTTGTTTGTTCTAAATTTTCTAACTTACAGTGTTTTCTGATCACTACTTATTTTTAATTGCTGTTCATTTTTTTATCTCGAATTCCTGAAATCTTTTAATTACACTTTGTACTGATGAGTGCTCCCTCGTTTTTGTTCATTGCTATGCTAAAACATTTTCTGATTAATATTACCTTATCGAGATTTTTAATTGCTTATTAAT